AAAGATTTATCGTAAAGTTTATGTTTCTGAAGCCTCGTTGCGTAGGTTACTTAACTTTCTTCCCATTTGCATCAAAACTATGCTTGATAAGTCCCTTCTTTTCCCTATTTTTGACTGTGCGGACGTCAGCTCTCACCGAAGCTTAGCTTGATAAACTTGAGCGAATTCAAAATAGCGGTATAATATAATAAGTTTTATATTTGGATTACGTAAATATGACCATGTCTCTCTCTTTTGTACTAAGCTCAAGTGGTGGTCAATATAACTTCATTGGAATGCTCACATAGTTCAATTTCTCTATTGTATTCTCTTTAATCCTTCATACCCATAAAAAATCCATAAATTCGCAAAAAAATATTGTGGGTCACTCACGGGAAAAAAAACTCATATCTCTCAAGTTGGACCAAACTGCACACGGTGTGCAAATTTTATTAAAATCGGTTAAGTAGTTTAGGAGTCCATCGCGAACAAACAACGTGACACGTTTATAAATATTAAGATATTGATATAATTATATTTATTTTATTTTTTGTGTTTATTATGTATATAAATAAATTATTTTTTATTACACCAATTTCCTCTACCCCTGTCATCTTTGTGTAATCCTGTCCATTCATTGGTTGTCTGGAAGAAATTGCTATCAGCAATAAGACCGCCCATTGCATACTTCTTTTGTATATATAATCTGTAATTTTTGTATGGTGTGCAAAAATAATATTAAATAAATAAAAAAATAATATCCTAGGCGTCTTAGTTTGCAAATAAATAATTTTTTTTGCAAATTTTGGGACCAGTGAGTTTTTTAAGCAGTGTATAGTTCTGTTTTTCTCTTGTCATTTTATATTCAATAATTGAATCTGCGAATTTTATTCTGCAATTTCATTATGCGCTGATTCTAGTTCTGATTTTACTGAGGTTAATTGTAGGTTTAACTCATCGACACTCGATTTATTTATGACGTAGATTAAATGTTCACTGTGACAAAATGTATCTAACACAGTGGAATTTGTTAACTATTGACTTATTTCTTCAAGAAAAAAGCCTACTCCTTTTTAAAAGGCCGGCAAAGCATCTGCAATTCACCTAGTGTTGCAATTGCTGTGAGCCGTATGCTCGTTTGCCCTGTATAAAAAAATTGGAAGTTCTCAGGATCATCAGAGAAAGTTCTCTTTCGTCTTCTCATTGTAACGTTTTCCATAATTTTAGTTGATTTTATTGAATGTTAATTACTTAATAATTTTGCAATGTAATAATACAATTAATAAAAATATAAAAATAAAAAAACAAAGAAAAATTATATAAATAACAAAAGTAATGTTCCAAATTATACAAACGTACAAATAAAAACAACAAAAGGTAAATGAAATAAATTAAGACTGAAAATATAAATTAGAAATTACTACAACATTAAATAACTACTAAAAGTAATTCTAATCCAAGAAAAGCTCTGAAAAACTTGAACTCAGATTTCTTAGATTCGTTCGTTATTCATAAGTAGTTACGTTGTACCAGTTCTGGCTCACTGAGTCAGAAGTGGTACGACTACAACGTTCTCGAACTCACGATCCTAAAAAAAAAAAAGTTTTGGCATGCTCTGATCACGAATCTGCGGTCCGTTTTTGCGTAGGATGCACGGTTCCGGAGATGTGCAGATCAATTAACTCTTATCTAATTGATATCCGATGAGGTCCTCCACCGTCATTAGCGCTCCATTTTTCTTATCTATTGTTCATTGAATACCGTCATTATCTATTCGTGCGTCGGATTATCAGTGCTTATACTCCTTTGTTCCTAACTGCAACGGTAATCTGAATCATCAATAAAATACATTACCTAATTTTGTTACAATTTTTATTTACGAAATACAAAATCTTATTAGTTATTATCTATAAAATAGGAGCGAAACATTTCATGGACTAAAATATCGTTGTACAATGTGTTCCCTGTAAATATACTCGTAAAACTATGCATTGAACATCCCTGAAACTTATATAGCAAATACATTAAGCAATATTCGCCACAAACTGAAGTCCACTCATTCTGAATTCTATCAACATTCCAGTTCCATCTTTTACAATTTCTTTTTAAAAACTCTAGATGATATCGTACAGATACTCGTCCGTATGAATCAAAATATTGACCGACGTCATTAGTATCGATATATAAAGCTACCCAATGTGACCCTGGTTTATCATCTGTATCCAAATTGCATATTATATACGTTGGTACGTGAGTGTACATGGGCAGTCTATTGGCAGCATAAACATTATTTTCTAGAGTAGGGTGAATCTTTTTCAGATGTTGTTATACATCTAGTGTATTCATGATATTACTGCTACTAGTAGATTATTACAGTACAATCTACTCTATGACTAACATAGGAATTATGAATTATAGTGATTTCTAAATATTAAATTGCATTATTTTGTGTTATACAAAACGTATTTGAGTCATCAATACACTGAACAAGACGACACGAAGTAATGCTGAGATAAACAACAGAATGCGAGATAAGCTTGTTGACGCATAAAGTTACTATCAATTCCACTGCAGAAATTCTTTAGATTAGAATTATTACTTACTGGTACTATAAAAGACCGCGCAACTGCAGTCATGGAGTTAGTGTATGTTCGTTTGACCGCAGTGGATCTATCAATACTACATTTGTGTTACTTCAACGCATCAAAGGCCATGGATGTAAGTGTTTATTCTATTGACAAACTTACTTTTCTTTCTGTTATTTTCTTACGTGTGTATGATTTAGTGTTAACAAATTATATTTAAATATTGTGTGTGTATATGATTAAGCCGTGGTAGCTCAGATGGTTAACGCAAGCTGTAAATTTCACAGTACGCGAACCGGGTTGGATCCCCGCCGGCACCAATTAAATTGATAATTGCAATTTTAAGTGTTTATTCTATTGACAAACTTATTTTTCTTTCTGTTATTTTCTTACGTGTGTATGATTTAGTGTTAACAAATTATATTTAAATATTGTGTGTGTGTATATGATTAAGCCGTGGTAGCTCAGATGGTAAGCGCAAGCTGTAAATTTCACAGTACGCGACCCGGGTTCGATCCCCGCCGGCACCAATTAAATTGTTAATTGCAATTTTAAGTCTTTATTCTATTGACAAACTAACTTTTCTTTCTGTTATTTTCTTGCGTGTGTATGATTTAGTGTTAACAAATTATATTTTAATTTTGTGTGTGTGTATATGATTAAGCAGTTGTAGCTCAGATGTTTAGCGAAATCTGTAAATTTCACAGTACGCGACCCGGGTTCGATCCCCGCCGTCACCAAATTAAATTGTTAATTGCAATTTTAAGTGTTTATTCTATTGACAAACTTACTTTTCTTTCTGTTATTTTCTTACGTGTGTATGATTTAGTGTTAACAAATTATATTTAAATATTGTGTGTGTACCGCATCTACGAATACCAGAGTAGTTAAAAAATACTTTTTTTCATTAGTTGATCATTGTGAATGTGATTCTGTTTACTTAAATTGCAGGAAGACAAGAGCAGATGAAAGAAATGGGATGATGGGAATTAATTAAGCACTGTTATGTGAAGCTTGTTTGAACAAACATATTTTTAGTCACGTGTAAATACTTTTAACATTTTGGTTCGAAATGACACAAAATCAAAAATATATTAGATACATCATCGACATGGACGGATTTTACATTACATATCCTTATAAATATTTTCAATGTAGAGAAATGGCTATTCTAGACGTAAAACTATCTAATAAAAATGATGCGTTTATCGATCATTATTTGTTTCGGCCAAATTATCCTTTCAATTATTTGTCGCCAAAAGACAAAAAAACTGTTCGTTATTGTGAAACACACGTGCACGGCATTCCATATTTTGATGTGACCGAAGAATTAAAATGTGCCTACAAATAAGAGAACATCATCCCCATATTTAATTGGTATATTAGAAATTTGTGTAAAGACGAAGTGATGGCATACAAAGGTGGTTCAACAGAAAAACAATTTTTAAAAAATGTTGACGACGAATGATAGAATTTTTAATATTGAAGAATACAAATGTCCAAAATACAATGATTTGGTAAATGTCATAAATTTAAATAAACGTTATGTGTGTAATAATCAAAAATTTGCAAAAAATAATCACAAAATTTTACATTGTTCTTGTGACGAAGTGTGGGTTTTTTTTACAAGTGGTTATTGCTTGAAAATAAAATTTTAAATTAATCATAATTTTTTTTTGATTTCCCAAAAACACAGTTATATTACACAATATATATTAATTGTTTACACCAACACTTTCATTTTTTATTTCACCCCTTAGAACTTTAGACGTGTGTAATATTTCACTTTATACATCCGTTTACTGCTATTGTGGCAGGACCAAGTGTATGTGGGAAGTCAAATTTTGTATCAAATTTCATGAAATCAGTTACAGAAATATGCAATTGTGATTTTAATCAGATCACATGGTGCTTTGATGAAATGCAATCTTTATATAACTTACCAAATGTTAACTATCATCAAGGAATTCCAAATTTTAATATGTTTGATGGTGAAAACCCACATCTCGTTATTATTGATGATCTAATGAGAGAGTCAGATGGAAGAATTGTGGATATATTTACAAAAGGTAGTCATCACAGGAATCTCAGTGTATTTTATTTAACACAAAATTTATTTCATCAGGGTAAAGGGCAAAGAGACATATCTTTAAACTCAAGTTATAAAATATATTTTAAAAACCCTCGAGATAAAACTCAAATAAGATATTTAGCACGACAAGTGTCATCAGATAAACCAAAATTCATTGAAGATGCCTACAAGGATGCAACTCTAGAGGCACGTGCATATTTAATGGTAGATTTAAAACAGAATACCAATGATTTTTGTCGTATCAAGGCAAATGTCTTCCCATTTAATGGTTTCTGTACAGTCTACGTCCCCACAAAAGAGTATAAATACACCAAGAATCAAACAATTCAAATCATTGCTAAATGATGCATCGTCGACTCACGACGCATAAACATTTGCTAAAGGCTTTGCATACGCTTAAACCAAAATATCAAAGAGCATTACTTAAAACGTGTGATGAAGAAGAAATTAACTGTATTTGTGAGTCTATTCATAACAAACAAGGAAAAGTACCTCTTAAAGATCAAGATAAACAAAAATTGAATAAACACAAAAATATACTCCGTAAACTAGTGCGTAAGTGTAAACATAAACTAAGAAAAAATATAAATACAAAAAGGAGGGGCTTTCTTACCAATAATATTTGGTGCAATATTGAGTGGATTAGTGAGTGGACTAGCCAGTTAACATGGAAAATGCAGAGAAAATGATACTTATCGAACCTGGATTGATTGAAAAATTAAAACAAGAAAATAAGGTTAATAGTAATATATCTCGATATCGATTAGATATTGAAATGCAAAATATTATGAATAGTAAGACGGAAGACCGTAGGAAATGGATGTTATATTTACAAACACTATAAAGATACCATCATTTTATCGAAGGGGATCGTCAACCACTCAGATTACCAATTTATTCTGATACACTTAATGAAGATTCAAATAAGTCTAAAATTGGATTTAAAAATAAAGATAGAGATCTAAAAACTACAGTTGATGCTGAATCAATGTTGGAGGAGAATAGATCCATTGAAAGTAAAGAAAATGATGAAAATCCGCTTTACACACCAGCTCAAATACTCAGTTTAATACCAAAAGCTTATAATAAAAAAGGACAGTTATTATTAAACTTAGTTGAAACAAGTAAAAGTAAAATACATTGGGATAATGAAGGTACAGTCATAATTGATAATGAAAAAATTCCTGGAAGTAATATTATTGATTTAATAAATGATTCACTAAAACCCTTAAAAAGAAGTGATCCAGTAGGGTGGGATAGATTTGCTGAAGCATTAAAAGATACTAAAGTACCACTTACTTATATTGGAAATCCAAAGAGATGTGAGTTTATTAACCAACTTCAAGCAAAAGATCTGAAGAAACCCTCAGAGATTGACGTTCATGAGTTTTTTTACACCGAGTAGGGGAGATACAAAATCTATAACTAAAATAGAGTTTTCTACACCGAGCAGTAGAGATAGAAAGTCTACAACTAAAATACGTAAAAGGCTTGATTGGGAAAAATGGACCCCGTACTAGAAAAAATTTACAGGATATATTATGATCCATCTAATCCCGCTAGTTTTGGTAGTATTGATAAATTATCAAAAGCCATGAAGGGTAAAATGAATAAAAAGCAAGTAAAGGAACGGTTAAAATCACAAGAAACATACACATTACATAAACCCATTCGAAAAAAATTCCCGCGTAATAGGTACATTCTATGAAATATTAATGAACCGTGGCAAGCTGATTTAAGTGATATGCGATGTTATTCTCAATATAATGATGGTTTCAAGTATATACTTTGTGTTATTGATGCATTTAGTAAATATGCTTTTGCAAGACCAATGAAAAAGAAAAACTCAGAAACAACTAAAGAATGTTTTGAAAGTATATTTACTGAAAGTAATTTAACACCTACTCACATACAATCTGATAAAGGTACAGAATTTGTTTCAAAAGGTGTACAAAAATATTTTAAATCCAAAAAGATTAATTACTATACCACTAACAATCCTGACATTAAGGCCAGTATTGTTGAAGGATTTCAAAGAACACTAAAATTGAAAATGTGGCGTTATTTCACTCATAATAATACTTATAGATATATAGATGTTTTACAAGATTTAATATACTCTTATAATCACAGCTTTCACTCTAGTATTAAGATGTGCCCATGTGATGTAAATTCCAAAAATATTATGACAGTTTGGACTAATCTTTATGATAGACGGTCAAACAAACTTTCTTTAGAAATTCCTAAATCAAATTTCAATGTGGGTGATTATTTTCGAATAACTAAATATAAACATGTTTTCCAAAAAGCATATGAATCAAATTGGAGTGATGAAATATTTATTATATCTTCAATAATTGATAGATATCCATGGGTTGTTTATACAATAACAGATTTACAAAATGAACCAATAGTTGGTACTTTTTATGAAAGAAAATTACAGAAAATCACTTACAACTCCACCTCACAATATTAAAATAGATAAAATAATTGACACTCGTTATTCAGGTAACAGAAAAGAGTATTAGTGAAGTGGAAAGGTTATCCAGATAAATTTAACAGTTGGATTTTAGCTTCTAGTTTAAAAGAAATATGAATAAAGAAAGTTTTTATTTATCTTTGCTCAGCAATAGTTCAATGGAATACTTTCCAGATAACAAGACCACAAATTTTTCAACGAAATTACCAAAAGCTATTAAATTAGAAGGTGAATGGTCGGTTGGAGTTGTCGAGTTTCAATATCCATGTACCATGTTTACTCTTCAAGATCATGAAAATGTTATATACATTACAAAATCTATGCTAATGCCTAATGAAGATAAACCATCCACAGTGTACTACAAAAACATATTCCAGCTACCAACTATGATAACGTTGAGCATATTTTAAGAGTGTTAAATGGTATCGGAGAGAACTTGAAATTTCGCTATGATGAAATAACAAAATTTGTAATGATTTCTTATATTTACGCGAACTTTGAAATAATACTAATTTTTACGGAATTTATCGCGTATATTTAACTTTTTAAATACCCGACGTTTCAAACGCTTTAAAGCACTCATGGTCACGTGCGGGACTGCGATGTTCAACGTCCTATATGTCATATTTAACCGCGGTTACCATAGATTAAAATTTAACTTTTGTTCCGATCGATATAGTATGAACTTATGGTATCTTGAAGTCTTGCAGTTGTATGCTTGGGTTGGGATTTAATTTTATTTATTATAGGATCCCAAGCAGATGTTAGCACCCAGCCATCTTCTCTATTGAAATTAGGATTTTTTTTGATTTCAATAGCCTCGCGAATCATCCTTGGAAGGAATCGGTGTTCTTTATTGAGAATTTGCGGTCTATCAAATCTGATGTAGTGACGGGGGCGATCCTGTACGTGTTCACAGACTGCAGACTTCCCGGAGCGTCGATTCTTCACATCAGCTATATGTTCTTTAACGCGGGTTTTTATTGATGTTTTAGTTTATCCTATGTAGGAGAGACCACATTCACAATCAAGCTTGTACACTTCTGCATCTTGCAGAGGGACATTACACTTGACTGATGGTAAAAACTGACCAATCTTCTTCAGCGGCTTGAAGTATGTTTTGATGGAAGCGCGCTTCAAGATGTAGCCAATCTTGTCAGTGACTCAGGTGTCAGTACAGCAGGTACACGATCGACTGTGGCCGGCTTCACTCGTTCACTGTGACGTAGGCGCGGGACTCGAAGCTTTTTGTTATGCAAAACTTGCTTGACATGGTGGAGCTCGGCAGCCAGGTGTTTACTGTCACAGATCCCTCGTGCTCTCTGAAACAAAGATTTACCCACAGTAGCTAACTGTGAAGGATGGTGGTGAGAATCACCGTTTAAGTATCTATCTGTATGGGTCTTTTTTCTATACACAATATGGCTCAAGGTGTTATCAGGATTCCGAATTACTAACACATCTAGAAAAGCTAAGGAATTGTTTGCCTCTAACTCCATTGTGAACTGAATTTTAGAATTTATAGAGTTAAGGTGGTCTAAAAATGCAGTTACTTTATCTAAAGGTAGAATTGTGAAAGTAGTCGTCTACGTACCGCTTGTAGAACCTTGGATTTATGGGAGAACTAGGCAGGGCTTTCTCCTCAAAGTCTTCCATGAATATGTCGGCGACAATGGGAGATACAGGTGAGCCCATCGCCACACCATCTACTTGCTTGTTGAACTCCTCCTTCCACAATAGGTAGCCAGATGTAAGGCAGTGTCTGAGTAATAAAAATTAGTAAAAGTATTAAAAAGTATTAAAAATTTGTGTCTATTTCTGTTTTGGATAAAAATATAACATCCGTAACATTATCACCCAAATTAAGTTTACAACTAGGTTATGAACCAAATAAAAATCTCCTAGAGAGAAATTTTGGAAAGTGTCCTGCTAATTTACACTTAGGGTTACCATCTCAACTATTTCTATATTGCGACATTATCGATCCTCAGATTGTGGGTGATGTTATTACTCCTTTACTAAGAGTCAAAATATAATACAAAATACATTTATGGTGCAAATAAAATGCACGTTTTCTCTCAACCTCACTACTTACCTGTTATGCGAAGAGAGTTCGATACGCTGGAAATAGTTATAAGATCGAGCACAGGACAAAAAATACCATTCCAGTTTGGAACCGTGTGTATTAAACTACATTTCCGAAAATTATAATAATGAATTCTCTTCGTGATCATCATAAATGTCCATATGAAAATTATTATACACATCAAGCTGGGTCAGGAGTTGGAGTAATTTATAAGGGTTCACCATACCAACGCGGTTATGGTATTGGGAGCTTCTTAGGGGGGTTATTTAGATCAGTTTTACCTTTACTTTCAAGTGGTGCTCGAGTGATTGGTAAGGACGCATTAAGCGCTGGAGTAGGACTTTTATCGGATATGGTTCAAGCGCGTCCTATGGAAGCCTCAATAAAAATCTTCTAAAGCAAGTTAGTACGAATTTAAAACGAAAGGCTGATGAGAAAATTGATCAATTTAACATGACAGGATCTGGGTATAAAACTAAAAGAAAAAGATTGACCCCTTTCATTCCACCATTAACTGCTAAAGTGCAAGCTGCGAAAAAACTTGGTCTCAAACGAAAAAATATCAAAGATATATTTTCAAATTAAATATGTCTTTCCTTCATAATAATTCTTGCGAGTGCGTTAAGTCAGAATTTTATTTGTTTGCACTACCACCTACACAAACTAGCATTGAAAATGGATTGTGGATTCATTATAAACCAATTTCATCTCTTGGTGATGATGGACCTATCGAGTTTTAAGTTCCTGGGACAGATGATGACTACATAGATTTGTCTCATACATTACTCCACATAAAGGCAAAAGTATTAAATCAAGAATCAACTAACTTGATATCTACTACAATAGTAGCACCTGAATAATAATTGGCTGCATTCATTTTTTAGTCAACTTGATGTTTATTTAAACTAAAAACTTGTATCACCACCTAATAATACCTATGCATATCGAGCATACATGGAAACCCTTTTAAATTATGCTCCTGCTGCTAAATAATCTCATCTTACTTGTAGTCTTTGGTATGATGATACAGCAGGAAAAATGGATTCTACGGATGGTAAAAACATAGGATTTGTTAAAAGACAGGAATTGATTAGTGAAAGTAAGGAAATAGAAAAAATTGGTCATCTTCACGGTGACATTTTCAACCAAGATAAATTTTAAATTAATGGTGTTGAAATGAGTGTTAAATTGGTTCGATCAAGAGAGAGTTTTAATTTAATTGCTGGGTCAATCGATGTAAAGTTTAAAGTTTGCATTACGGATGCAACTCTTATTGTTCGACGAGCACAAATTAATCCAAGTGTATTACTCGCTCATCAAAAAGTTTTAGCTTCTACCACTGCTAAATATCCTATTACTCGAGCTGAAGTAAAAGTTTTAACAATTCCATCGGGTGTTCAAGGAAAAACTCTTGATAATATATTTTTAGGACAGGTACCCAAAAGATGTATAATTGGATTTGTAAACAATTCTGAATTTAATAGTTCCCTTACTAAAAATCCATTTAACTTTGAAAACTATGGTATTAATTCCTTCAGATTATATATTGATGGTCAACAAATACCTTCAAAAGCTTTGCAACCATCTTTTAATAATAGTATATTTACATCAGCATATCATACTTTATTCTCGGGAACTGGTATTCACTTTCTTAATGAAGGAAATGAAATCTCTTGTGAACAGTATGCCAAATGTTACTGTCTATTAGCATTTGACTTAACTCCTGATTTATCAGCCAACTCATCAGCTCATTGGAATCTCATAAAGCATGGTAGTGTAAGATTAGAAGTACGATTTGAATCCTTACTAATACAAACAATTAACTGTATAGTTTATGCGC